AAACATTCAAAGAGGATAATGAAACAATCACATCATTTATCAGTCGTTATCGAGAAACGGTAGATCAGTTAAAAGAAGCGCATCGGAAAAAATTAATTTCTAAAGGAATTATAGTAGATGAAGCAAGACTTAAAAGAAAGATAGATGAACAAACAGCGGAAGGATTTATTCAAAACGTAAATCCAGAAATACTTATTAGAATACCATCCAACACCCCTCTTGATACGTTATCAAAAGCAATTCTAGCCGTTAGACAAGCTGATAAAAAAACGCAACATTACATGCAACTCAAGAAAGGTATACAAACACCATCTAACAACAACAAACAAAATAAATCAAAGGAACATAAAGTTACACCTATTCGCACTAGCATTGAGTGTACCTTTTGTAAAAAATTAGGACATAAAGCAGAAGATTGTTATAAACGAAAACGTTCAGTAGGCTTTCAAAATAACCAAAATACAAAAACCGAATCCACTACGTCATTAAATTTGAACAATGAACAAGTAGTTTGTCGATATTGCAAGAATGTTGGACATACAATACAAGAATGCCGGAAAAGAGCTTACAATAATTCTCTTAAAGAAAGGACAGTGCCTAGCACATCCGGAAATATTTCGGGAAACGAGCAAAGTCTTCAGCTGAGGGGCGACAGCCAGAAGACCAAAACAGTACGCCCAATAGCTATTCACGGGAGTCGTAACAATTCGATCCAGAGACTCCTCTCGAACTCCAACAATAAGATTATTTTCCCCTGAAATAATTGGTTCGTCTACGATAATGATAGATACGGGAGCAGAATTAAATATCATTAAGAGGAAATACGTTAAACCAGGAACACCAATACTAGACGGCAAACCATATTATCTTAAAGGCATTACATCAAACTATGTAAAAACTCAAGGAGAAATCATAGTTCATGTAGAAGAATTCAAGACAAGTTTCCACATTGTAGGAGACGATTTTCCAATAGTACAAGATGGAATCATCGGAGAGCCATTCTTTACTAAAAATGAAGCAACAATCAATTTCACAAAACAACGACTCGAATTCGAAGGACGAGAAATCCTTTTCGAACCTCCGAATTCAGTAGTACTACCAGCCAGAACTAAAATCCAGATCCCTATCAGAATAATAAATTCTGAAATTAATACTGGATATGTGCCTCGGTTAGGTGGTGGTCCAGACGTTTATCTCGGGAATGCTCTGATAACAAATCATAGAGGTATCAGTTACATTTATGCCATTAACATCTCTGAAGAAGAAATAGAAATTGAAACTCTACAAATTAGGTTATGGGACTTTGAAGAAATGACCAATTCTTACTGTTCCCCTGAACCCACTGAATCTACTATATCCACTGAATCCGTTGAATCTGTTAAATCCCAAGAAGTCCCTAACCAAAACAGTTCAGAAAATCAATTCAAATATCAAAGTCACAATCATTTAAAAAAATCTAAAGCAGTTAGTAAACTCATAGTTGACAATGACGAACGAAGTTCAAAATTGTTCGAACTTCTACGCTTAGATCATCTGAACAAAGAAGAAAAAGAGTCAGTAGATACACACCACTCCTGGCCGTCACAACAAACCCCCACCACTGTCCTAATGAGTCATAGAGTGCATCGCGCTCCGGCCATCCGCGCTGCACTATGGCGCCACCCCCTCGTCAATGTGACCAGCTCTCGCCGCCCGAGTCGTCGTTACTCGTAGATATCGGCACCGATGGTTTGAAAAAAATGGCTCGCTCGCCATATGAGTACGTGAAGATTTTTTCGTGAGCGGGCGTGGAAATAGGTTTGTTAAAATCCTCAGGTACCTTCTTGATGTTGTCCTCGGCGACGAAGAACCTGTCGACGACGGGAAAGTGTTCGGCGACGATGCCCCACTCGCTAGGTTCAAACTCCACACCGGAATAATCTTGATTAACGAGGCGTATTACAGGCGACAAGCTTCCCGATCAATTTAAAGAGAAGCCGGTAATTATTTGTTTCGAAAACGAGCGGTTTATCCCGTACACAGTGGACAGTAGTACTTGCATTATTTTAAGATCTATGAAATTTTTGGCCATATTAATTTAATTTTTAATTGTTGGGTGTGAAGTGTCGTCTTTTAAGCGACCAATATTAATTTTTCAATCTTGTTAGAGATTGTTAGGCTAGGACTAGCCTATAATTATATTGGTCACTTAAAAGACGACACTTCACACCCAACAATTAAAAATTAAATTAATATGGCCAAAAATTTCATAGATCTTAAAATAATGTAAGTTTGTCTATAAACATACAAAAGACCGAACGGAAGGATCGTGAAATTATTCTGTTAGAGCCACGGTGGCGAAACTGGTAACGCGACAGGATAGACCCCTGGAGTTCCCGGTTTAAAACCGGGCTGTGGCAGAATTTTTTCACGATCCCTAAATAATTCGTTTCATCTATTCCTAGGCTGCTGAGTGATTCCCACCCGAGTCCTAGCCTAACAATCTCTAACAAGATTGAAAAATTAATATTGATCACTTAAAAGACGACACTTCACACCCAACAATTAAAAAGTAGTACTTGCTTCTTGTACATGATGATTATAGGAAGCGTTAGTATACGATCAGTGCGGGTGTCTGAGCAGTACTGCCTAAGGCGGTATCTAAAAAACGCATCATCGAAATATCATTGAACATATACCCCCACCACCACAGCCTCCTCCACACACTGTTTTCATAGGATACAGCGGACAAAGAGTACATGGCCTTGACAGAGTATTCTGCTGATACCGTAGGATGTATCAGAGATGACTAGATACTGATACCCTATAGTGAGTGAGTCACTCCCGCGTGCATCTACATCAGCGTTAATATGATCCAGCGGCGGCCAGCGGCACGCGCGAGCATCCACTGATGTACAGCCCGAGAAAGTCAGTAAAATCGCTACAGAGGTACATTGCACAAAGAAATTTATAAAGTTGTACGAAGAGGAAATGGCGCACTACGACGGCAAGGAATTTTTGCGGCATAGGCGTATACAAAGGGCGAAGACACAAGCCCTCTACCGCTACGCAAACCCCGAACAATATCCAGAGGAAGAAACCATACGAGAATGGCTGCGATTAGGTCATTTAACGGGTGTACCGCTAGTACCGATATACATGTCGAAACCGGGAGATAGGTTAAGGAATATTCAAGATAGATATCGTCGTCGCTCTGTGGTCGAAGAAGGGGGCCATCGCCGATCTGTCGACATAGTCCGTCGTCCTCTGCATCTAACGTTTAGAAAAAAAAGGTTTTTTTTTTTTTAGCGGGAGATAGGTATAGGAATATTCAACAGCACGCTGATGAGCTATACGGTGATAACCCCGACATGATCTGCTGCAAGGGCTGGGCCTCTGGTGTGAGGCCTGTGATACTACCGGAGCTATCTATAGCTGCTATACTGGATAAGGAAGGGATACCGCGATTTCACACGGTGTAGCGTGACGCTAGGTTTTATCGGTGATCAGCGTTGTAACGATAGCCCTTACGCACAGCGCGTATGCACCCACGAGTGGCTGGCAAAAGACGAGTGGCGTATGTCCGACGATAGTAGCCCCAAGTGCCGCATCACATATCGACGCCCGATGACCAGCTCAGCCCTAGCGATGCTACGGAGCAGGTGTGAACGGCCCACACCGGAGGAGTTACCGCGCCATGCATCTATGCGTCTGGAATCGCAGGCGTGGTTGGCGCCATTCAATCACCTCGAGAAATTACGCGAAAGCTGCGTCACCCTATGGTGTTTGAGGGCTATGCGGGCCTACGAGACAGCGCTACACACTCTGGAGAAACGCTGCAGTCTGACAGAGTTTATAGGGTGCGTTACCCTGGCGACACGGGATGGTCCACCACACCTGAAATATAAGGAATGCCGAACGAGCGTGGTCAGCATGCCCAGCGGCCTTACGCGTACCTGGAAACACTCGACGATACGTGGGATGTCAATACAAACCACGACGTGTACGATGAGGAGGGAGAGAACGCGGAGGAATCGAACAATTTGGGGTAATATGCAATGGACACGCGAACATCATCCCGACGCAACATTCGACACGTACGGTGTATGGCAATTTTTCGCGATGAGAG